GGGCCTCGCCCCTCTGACACGCACCTTGCGCGACCCAGCGTCCCGGTCACGCGGTTGGTCGCCGCTCTCGCCGCCCCTCCCGCGTGCTCGCCCACCTCTGCACGGCCTCCCAACTGCGCCTCACAGCCATCGCGCCCCACCCGCCCCCCTCACTCCCGCAGGCACCTGGACGTGAGCGGCTGCGGCCGCCTGACAGACCGGTCGTGGGCGCTTCTGGGGCGCTACGAGGCTCAGGAGGACGGCCGCGGCGGCGGCGGCGATGACAGCGATGACGACGACGATGACGTCATCGCGGCCGTTGCGGCTAGCGGCGGGGGCGGGCGCGCGGCGCCGCCCTTCGGGGGCTGGCAGGGGTGGCGCGCGTACGCCACAGGCGGGGGCGGCGGCGGGGCGGACGAGGGCGGAAGGAGCAGCGGCGGCGACGACAGCGGGAGCGGGGGCGATGAGGATGAGGCGGCGGATGGGGCGGCGCAGGAGGACGGGCAGGCAGCGGAAGGCGAGGGGGCGGCGCAGGCAACGGCGACGCCCGCGGCCGCGCCGCCGCCGCCGAACAGCGGGCGCTTCGAAGCGGCGATCGCGGCAGCCCTTGCTGACAGCGTCGGGGCCCTCGGCCTTGGCGCAGCCGCGGGGGCGGCGGCGGGGCCGCCGGGGCCGCGAGCGCGCGGCCTGCGGTCGGTGTCGGTGCGCGGCTGCGGCGGCCTGACGGACCACGGGGCGCGGCAGCTTCTCTGCGGCTGCGCCACGCGGGCGTCGCTCCAGGAGCTGGACTTGACGCGCACGCCCGTCACCAGCGCCGGGCTGCAGCTGCCGCCGCTGGTGGGCCCGGTTTTTCCCCCGCGCCCGGCTGCGCGCCCCGCTGACTTGCGCATGCATCGTCGCCGCGACGGGGCCTGTGCCGACCCCCCTAGCCCACCGAGAACAAACCCCCTCCGCTTCGACGCTGCGCCCTAAACTGCACTCCCTCAAGACCCCACCTCCTCCCCCTCATTCGCCAGGCGGCAGTCCACACCCAACCACCGAAAACCGACAGCCACTGATTGACAACCAACAGTCAATGATCTGCACCCCACTCCAACCCCCCAAAGGGCGTCCTCCGCGACCTCAATGCCAGCCACTGCAAGTCCCTCACGCGCCTGGCGCTGCAGCTGCCGGCGACGCACCCCCTCGCGGCGCTCGACCTGTCCTGCTGCCACGCGCTGCGCGAGCTGACGCTCGGGGCGCCGCGGCTGGCGCGGCTCAGCATGGCGGCGTGCCGCTCGCTGCATAGGCTGCGGCTCAGGTGGGCGGGGGCGCCGGGGCTGGGGAGAGGAGAGGGGTGCGGGAGCTGTTGGGGGCAGCTTGACGGCGCGGGACGGAGTGGCGGCACCCAGTGACATGGCCGGGCGCGTGGCGGGCAGCGCGCGCCGGCGGCCGGCTTCCCGGCGCCGCCGGCGCTGGTCGGGGAGGGTTGCATGTCAGGCGACGTTGATTCTGGGGTCACCCCACGCGGTGTTCCTATCATCTCTATCGGTCCACTCACGTGAATGCGCAGGTGCCGGCGGCTGGAGGTGCTGGCGGCGCCGCAGTGCATCTCGTTGCAGGCGCTGTTCGAGGACGCCTGGGACCTGCCGGCCCTCAGGTATGATCTCAGATCTGAGATCACCCTTGCTGCTCGTTCGCGAGCAACCTTACGCTCCACGGCTGCACAGCCCGGCACCGGCGGCCGATTGCATTGATCCAGCAGACAGTGATACGGTACTCGCGCATACACGACGAATAACTGCAGACAGTTGTATTATTGCTCAGGGCAGGAGGGAATAGATTCAGCAACCAGTCCATCCTGCAGTCCGGCAAACAGTCAGCATGACATCATCCCACCCCACCCCAACACCCCCCCCTTGGCCCCCCCAAGGGAGCTCAACCTCTTTGGCTGCCGCCACCTCAACGGCGTCCACCTGGGGGCCGTCCTGGCCGGCTGCCCTGAGCTCGTCTCCCTCAACGTCAACGGCTGCTGGGGCATCGGCGCGCTGCACCTCGCACGTGAGCGCACGGCGGGCCGCGCGGGCGCGCCCCCAGCGGGCGCGGGCTGACTCAGCTTGGAGCGAGGGAACTTCCTCAACTGCACCCTCAGCGCAGCTGTGCACATCCCCCCAACCCACAAGCCACCACCGCACCTCAACCCAGGACCAACCGCCTGCTTGGCATGCTGCCCGCCGCCCCACCC